CCGACCATTTTTATATTTATAAGTAAGAGTAAGTGAATTAGTATGGGTGAGGGCGATTAAGGGTCAATATGGATGGGTCAAGTGGATTAATATAGGTGGGTCAGGGTGGATTATGACCCTTTAACAAGGGTTGATGATAGGTCATGGTGGGCTGGTGTATCAATATGGATGGATTAATATTCATCCCTTACCCAACCCAACCCGACCCAACCCACTCATTCACCACCCGTAGGGGTAACTGAACCTACAAGAAAATCTTATGTGCGTTCTTTTTTTCCTTTCACATTCATTTGAACAACTCAATCTCTCCAGCTTTACATCAAATCTCTCCACAACCTCACATTTGCATTCAAAGATCAATCGGCATAGGCAAATCATAAGAGATAAAAGGAAAAAAAAAAAAAACAAGATAACCCAATTCACCCATGTTGAATTTCACATACTGGACAACAAAATTTACACGATTAGTTTGAATGCAAATAAAAAAAAAAGTTAAAATTTTATATGAGGTAAGATTGCAAATCATAATTATAAATAAACAGATAGAAAATTTATATCTATCAACATTTTGACTTATATCAGAGTACATGAATAAAGCAACATGGGTGTTGGTACGTTGGGCTGAAATGAGAAGAAATCTTGATAAGCCTAGAATAAAGACAGAAAGGTAAAAATGACAATTAAAGCCAAACGGCCCAAACCTACAACATTGTCCTTAGCCTTTTTATTGTTATGATGAAAATTTGTCCTTTACCTTCTCTATAATGGAATGGAATATGCAGCCAATCACCACCAGTTGGAAATCAATGATATCTGCTGCTGGACTGAATGATAGTCTATTAGTCTCATAAATGTTGATGGTGCCAGAATTTCTTCTGGTTGAAATCAACAGCCGGGATTAGCTAGCTGCCTGTTGTCAAGGGTATCCCACAGTCACAGGTATACCTCTGACTTCATCTAGGGCTTAGGGCTTAATCGGGTCCGAATCTCGAATTTGATTTGAATTTAATTAGATTTTATTTCATATTTTAAAACAAAATAGAAATAAAAAAATAATTATTTTTCAACTTGTATATAATAAATTAATATATGTATGAAAATTGAATTATTATATGCATAAGATTATATATCTCTATATTTATTTATATAAAAATTGAAATGTCATATGGGTAGCCCTAATTGCACCATCATTCACATCACATGCAACTTTTGTAACTTCATAGCTTCTAACTGGGATTATAAAATGATAAATCCTTGGTCTTGGTGCTTTAAAGTTCACGTCGGCTGCAATCATGCTCCCAAAATATGGTCATGCCGGGCATGGATCTGCCATACATTATTGCAGCCATACATTAGACACACCTCCCTTGCTAGTTGGGACAGTGTTGTGAGCGTTTATTGGTAAGAGATCTGAAGTCGGTCTTGCCAGCTTTCAAAATTAAATCACAGTTCAAGTGATATTTGGAATTTATTATCATTACTGATCTGTCCATGTTTGGATGGGATTGCAACTTGCAATTTGGGAGGAAGTTCTGCCACTACAGAATATTTTTTTTTTTTTAAATAAAGTCTTACAGATAGGAGGGTGGGATCAAATCGTAGATGCCAATTAATTCAATATCTCTCTGATCTATGTTTTCAGTTTCAAACTAGTATATAAGTAATGGCACACGCTCACTCATATAAATATTTAATGATACAGCGGTGCAGCCCATTTGTAGGTATCAACGATTCAGCGCTGGAGAGCCTGGAGTCTGTTGGGCACCATAATAATCCAACCTTCCACTCGTGTTAATACAAAAACCTCCCCTTTAGATTCATTTTCATAAAAACCTCCCTTAAAGTTTTAAAAAACTAAACAAAAACTTCCCTTCCGTCATTGATCCATACCAGAAACGTAATAAATTTATGAAATTTCCCCCCGATTAATCTGCACGGTGTCATTTAAAAATTTTTAAAGTCCCAAATTGTTTTCATTTGAGCGACAACACTTCCACAATTGGTTACCGTTCTTTTTCAGAGTAAAAGAAAATGACACCACTAAACACTTGCAGCGGCGCCATTTCTCCGAATACCAAGAATTGCTAAAATTTAAAACAGACACGCAAATGATTAAGAAAAAACATATCGCTAGGTGTTTCAATATAAAGCAAACAGGATCGTGTCAATGAATCGCTGCGGCTATGGTTACGGCAGATGTGAACGAGTTCGATCATCTCTTTCTCTCTCCCCCGCTCTCTCTATCTCCTTCCGTCGATCGGCCGCTGGTAGAATTTTGTTCTGTTAAATGGAAGCAGACAGTGTCTCTGAAGTTCTTTCATTTCAATACAAGGATAAAAAGCCTATTATAGGATTTGCGTTGGGAGGTTTTGAAAAGTCAAAGAGGAAGAGTCCGACCAACGCTGGGTTTTGGATGATAAGTTGAAAAAATGCCCTTTACCATTTGTTCGTCTTCGGTGCTCTTTTAAACACACGTATTGAGTGTCGACTGGGCCAAAATTCTTTCTCAATTCAGGGCTTGCCCATTACAGTTTACATGCTATTTTCAGTTTCACTTCCTGAATAGAAGCTCTTGTTCCTCTCTCTTTGTTTCTTTAATTGCACCACTAGTCTGTAATCTGTAGTTTCCCATTCACTTGGGGCTGGGTGAAGCCTTAAGATGCATGGACTCCCATGTGATTCTTTCTGAGTTTACGAGCAAGCGAACAAGCGAGAAACAACAGATGGACAAGCAGACAGATAACCAATGGCCGTGTATGTGAAAGGCCCCATCTTTATTGGCTTGGTGTTGCTTTTGTTTATGGGGATCGCCATCTACTTCAAGCTTTGGCTTATTGATTACAATTTCTTTTTTGAAGACAAAGATTGGATGAGGTTGGATTCCATCAATTTAGTACTGGCATATATGGCATCAGTTTTCTTTAATTTCCTACTTTTTTCCTTGTTTAATGGACTATGGTTGTTGATGTTTAATGGACAGGCTCTTGTTCTTCTTTCTTCTTTCTAGGTTTAGGAGGGTATCATCGACAAAAGAACGTCATTCCCTTTTTCTTGAATTCTTTTTGTATATAGGATGCCCTGTCGATTAATTAGGGATATTTTTTGTAATTTTATACATTTTCTGTTTAATCAATGATAGAAGGGAGTTTTTTTTTGTTGAATTTTTTAAAAATTTGAGGTTTTTATTAAAGTGAAATTAAAGGGGAGGTTTTTATGATTGTCAAAAACTTCAGGGGAGGTTTTTGTATTTTACCCTAAAATATAAAATACAAGCGTGAAACGCCGAAACATGGTTCAGTTCAGGAATTCTTTCAGATACCACCGTGGTTTTTTACTTTCTATGAGTACAAGTCCAAGTGGGAATATCAGCGGGGCGGGTTATGTGGTAAATCCGCATAGACCCAACACTTTTGAGTTAGGGAAGGGTAAGTTTTATCAAATTTTTGGGTCGGGTTTGGTATCATGTTGTGAATGTATCGTTTTTGTACTTATTTTAAAGGAAAAATTCCCGATTAATACCTTGTACTTTGGGTCTAGTGTTACTATGCTCTTTGAAATTTAAAATGTGACAATTTAGTATCTAAACTTTTAAAACTTGAAAATTCAGTATCTGTTGTTAATTAGCTGTTAACCAGTCATTAAGTGACATTTAAAAAGAAATAAATACCCTTCAAGTGTTATTTAATTTTTTTATCAACCATCTAAACGTTGACAAAAAAAATTATCAGTCCCAAATCTTTGTCTTTTCCATTCAGGAAAGTTGGGGTCATGTTTGAATGGGCATTCCGATGACCCCAACTTTCTTGAATAGAAGAGGCAAGGATTTGAGACTGTTAATTTCTTTTGCTAATGTTTGGATGATTGATAAATAAAATTAGATAACACTCCAAGAACATTTGTATCTTTTTCAAATACCACTTAACGGCTGATTAACAACTAATTAACAATAGGTATTGAATTGTTATGTTTTGAAAATTCGAGTACTGAATTGTTGCATTTTAAAGTTTGGGAACCAAAATGACACTATGCCAAAATTACAAAGAATTTTCCCTACTTTAAATATTGGATATCATGGAAAAAAATCTTTTTGCAATGTTACAAACATGTATTATTTTTTATGCGTGAGTGCCATTATCCGAATGGTCATTATTGAACACCACATATGACACGCAAAGTGAAAATATTCATGTAAGAAATGTCTAAATTATATTTCTTTTAAAAAATATTTTCAAGTAACCAAAGTAAAGAGTAATAAAAATATTTGAATCTTGAAGCAAAAGAAAAAAAAAATTTTGAATCAGCTTAATCAAGCAGAATTTTGGTTTGATAATGTCAAAATACCCCCTAACTGACTTGTTTGGGTTTGGTATACCAAATGTGCAATGGGTCGGGTTTTGTATCATGCCCTTGTTCAAATGGGTTAGTTTAGGGCCAAAGCGACTATGGATCAGATTTGACCAAACCAAACTGACTTGTTGCCTTGTCGACATCCGTATCCAGGATGATTATAGCGTGGCTTGCACTGGGATTGATCCGAGTCAATTTTACTCGGACTGACCCGGGTGTTACTGAACCGAATAATAGAATCGGGTCGATAAATGTCACTGTAGATCGCCGGAGAAAGCGTAGCGGGCGGGTGCTACTTTATTAGTTTCGGTTGGTATTGAATGGAGTGGGCGATTGGGCGATAAGTTGGTGAATCTAAAGCTACAGGAAACAAACCATTAACGAATAAATAAATATTACCAAAAAGAGGAATGGATAAATAAATAAATATTAGATTTATACAAAAATAATTAAATTAAATAAATATACAAAGAAGATATAAAGGAAAGGAAAATAGAAGAAAATAATGGCGGGCGCGAGGAAGAGATGTGCCCCTAATCACTCCTGCTCAAGATTACGACGTGTCCTAATCACTCCCGTTCAAGCCTTGCCTTGGATTTTGGTGGAGGAGGCTCCACATCCTCTCTCCCTCTCGTCACCTGCTTACGTCTTCTCTCTCTCTCTCTCTCTCTACAGCGATGACTATTATTCTTGGGGTCAACCTACTCTGTCACTTCTCTCTCGTTTCCTCTATTTTTGTTTTCTTTTTATTATTGTTGTTTTTATCCGCACCAGCAATTTCCAGCTCTTCCTTCCTCGCCTCCTCTCTCTGTCTCCCCTCCTCTTCCTATGCCAAAGCCGAACGAGCTCTAACCCTAAATCTCTGTTGTTATTCAAAATTCGTTCACTCCTTGTCCATGGACCAGCACTTGGTTTCTGGGTTCTCCTTCGTCTTCTTCTTCTTTGTTCTAATCAGTGACAAGGTTTGACTGCAGGACTTAGTCTCACCTTGTCGGGAATCATTTCTGATTTTAAGCCTCAGAAGAAAGGTATGCTTCCTTCAGAAATTGAGTTCAGGTGAAATGATTGTATTGTATTGTTTTTTTTTTTTTTTTTTTTCGGTTTTCTTCCTGACACTAGCCCTAGCCTAGTATGGGCCTTCTAATATACCCTACTTTTCTTTTGAGCTGGACGGATGGGTATGCCGGGTAGTCTGTATTTTTCAATCTAACTGATTACACTGGTTATGGCTATTTGTAGAGGTGAGGCTGCGTACATCTGCCTATCTGTTTCTCCCCAGACCCCGCATTGGCGGGAGCGTCGTGCACTGGGCTGCCCTTTTAACTGATTAAACTGCTTATCATTATTTAGTTGTTTGTTACCGTTACTTAGGTATAATTAGATGTCTCTTTGACTTAACAAAGTTCAATTGCATTGTTGGTCATCAATGTTCCTTTGAGAAAACGCACGAACCCTTACAATTGTCCCCAACTCCCTGGATTCAGCAAAAGTTTATACTATGTCAATGATAAAACCGTGTAGTAGTTCCAACTTGCAGGTTCTAGCACTAGAACATCGGATCCTTTGCCGACCCTTATAACAGCGTCATTTTCTTTTTGGTAAATAATAATATCAGCCCCATCCACATGTATTTACATGTTTACCCACCTAAGAAGCTAGATGTCAACCGAATCCAGTACTATTGCTTTTGCGCACATCACTTTGTTTGATTGAAGAATTCTCAATGTTCTGCTTTCTGCAACTTCCAACCTTGCAGTAAGAGGGGCAATTGGGGCAGAGAAATGCGTATGCTTTCAAATAAATAATTATTCTTGCTATGATTAAATAATTTTGTCTAAATAGGAATTGCAATGATTGTAGCTTATGTGTTGACACCTCCTTACACACAAAAAGAAAAAGGGTGGAAAGAAGGTACATGGAGAGAAGAAAATACAAAGTTTCATGTATTCTTTAGTCGAGGCTGGAATGGAATAGAACTTACTAATGCTCTTTTTCATAAACTTTGCTTGACAGGGCAGGAGATTGTTGTTAGCTTTCTTCATTAGTTTCATTTCCTTACAACTCAGTGGTTTGAAGTGGTGGAATCTAAGATCTTTCATGTTACATTGGTTGCAGTAGGTTTTACAAAAGAGATGGCAGGCAGCCGGGATGGAAGTTATGACCAAGGAAGTCCATCTGATGAGAGCTACCATTTTGAAAGGACACATATTGAACCTATTTACGATGCATTTGTTTGCCCTCTCACAAAACAAGTAATGCATGACCCAGTTACATTAGAAAATGGGCAGACTTTCGAGCGAGAAGCAATTGAAAAATGGTTTAAGGAGTTGAAGGAGAGCAGAAGAAGACTTGTTTGTCCAATAACGTTGAAAGAGTTAAGAAGTACTGAACTGAAACCCAGTATAGCTCTGCGAAATACAATTGAAGAATGGACTGCAAGGAATGACGCTGTACAGCTTGACAACACTCGTAGATCACTCTCTCTGGGCAGCCCAGAGCAAGATATTCTGCATGCTTTGCAGTCTATTCAGTCTATTTGCCGGAAAAGTAGGTCTAGTAAGCATGCTGTACGTAATGCTGAGCTGATACCAATGATTATTGACATGTTGAAAAGCAGCAGTCGGAAAGTAATGTGTAAAGCTTTGGAAACCCTTCGTATTGTCACAGAGGAGGATGCAGATAATAAGGTTGTCTGCAGGTTTGCTGGTTTTCTTTAAAGATTTTATCATCTCTTAGTAAACATGGATGTTGTCAAAGTTTGTTCTCAATCAACTTTTCTTGCTCTGCAGGAGGTAATGGCTGAAGGAGACACAGTACGCACAATTGTTAAGTTCTTGTCTAAAGAGCGTTCCAAGGAGAGAGAGGAGGCTGTGTCTTTGTTATACGAACTCTCAATGTCTGACACTTTGTGTGAAAAGATTGGTGCAGTCAATGGAGCGATTCTTATATTAGTTGGAATGATAAGCAGCAAATCAGAGAACATTTTGATTGCTGAGAAAGCTGAAAAAACACTGAAAAATCTAGAGAAGTGTGAGAATAATGTGCGCCAAATGGCTGAAAATGGTAGATTGCAGCCTCTCCTTTCACTCCTGCTCAAAGGTGCTTTGTCTCACTTCTTGTTTACTCATTCCTTGCTTATTTACTGTTCAACAGTTGAATTTCATGTTTGTGTATTGTATATTGTCTTGCAAGTTATTTGTCATAGATGACATTAAAATAAATAAATGAAAACATCTCTTTGTTTATGCTTTTCCAATTATGAAGTGCAATTTTTTCTATGACAGTAAGACATCTTACTGATATTGGACTAACTCAGTGTGTTCTAACCTTTATTCATTGATATGTGTTTGTGACAAGACTTATTTCTTATTACATACCATCTCTCTCTCCCTCTCTCTTCAATGATTCATTTTGCATATTCCATGGAACTTAGAATTTCATTGTAAGGTCATACTTGAATGTGTAAAAAAACAAGGCAAGCTGGATGGAGCATCATTTACTGGAGATGTTGAGGCAGTACTGCAGTAGATCCGCATGCACAAACAAATGAGGCAAGCGGAATGATTTTTAGATCTTCCTATGAAACCTGAGGGCAAAAACCTATGGGGTGGGGATGAAGACTAAGAGTAGAAGCGGAAACTTTATTTCCTGGAGGAAATGAGGATTAGGGTTTGTTAGCCTTAAAAATCAGAGAACAAAAGAAGGGTACTGTCTTTCTTCTAGAAGAAGCTGTAGGTTGGTTTCTGAGTTAGATTTGGTGGTGCCTTTTTTTTGATTGGAAATGGTGACTTTCATTAAAGATAGCAATTAATCATCATACACTGTCAACCACTCAGAATATGAGTGTTGACCCCAATCAATTTCAATAGTTACAATACAGCCCAAAAAACAGTTTTCCCTGAAGACTCCCTACTTTGCCAAAATATCGGCCACAGAATTGGCTGACCTCCTTACCCATTTGAAGATTACTCCAGCATCCATTGCTAAGCTAAGTATTTCCCTTATTTGTTGTCTAAAAGTCTATACACCCAGATTTTTTGTCTGCAGCCATCCTATTAACATTTAAGAGTCTCCCTCCACCTCAAAGTTTTGAAATCCCCATTGCTTGGCCAACCTCAAGCCTTGTAGTAGAGCCATAATTTCAGCTCTCAGAGAGTCTCCCACACCTATGGAACCAGAATATAGTGCTATCAGCCTGCCTTCCCCATCCTTGAAGACTCCCCCAACTCCAGAGTGTCTTGGATTGCCAAAGGAGCTTCCGTCAAAGTTCAATTTTACCCTTTGTTGTACTGTAGGTGTCCAATAAGACTGAATAATAGACTGTCTAGTCGAAGAATTTTCCACTGCTGACCATCCCCTTACTATATCATCCACCGAAAAGTCTTTGAACAAGTCAGTAACTTTCAGCCAGTGTATGACTTTAATGGCTATGCATTCAATAGCTTGCTCTTTTGATCTTTCTACCCCTTGGGAAAATTCTGTTATTCCTTTCCTCCCATAAAGACCAAAGGATGGCTGCTCTTGTTGGCATCCACATCACTTTACCCCTTTTCTTAGGTAGTGTGAAGAAGCTTGGGTCAAAAAGGCTTGCCGCATCCGGAGGAGGGGTCCACCTGCAGCCAAAGAGGGAAGAAAACTGATTCCAAACAAAAGAAGCAAACGGACAAGATAGTAATAGATGTGAAATTGTCTCACCATTTCCCAAGCAAAGGCAACAAGCATGAGAAGAGAGGCAGCAATTCGACCTTCTTTTTTTGTAAATTGTCCATAGTATTGATTTTTTGGAGCACCACCTCGCAACAAAAGGCTCTTATTTTTTGGGGTACAAGATTACACCAAACTTCCTTTGTAGGGAAGGAACCAACCTGGTGTGAGGATTGAAGGAGTGTAGTGAAGAAGGAAGCACAGGTAAAAGAGCCAAAAGGGGACACTGACCAAATTCTACTGTTTTGGCAAGAAGGGCTCAAGAAAGCACTACTAAGAAGGGCAATGAGTTCATCTTTAGATCTACTAGGCCCATTCCGGATTCCCTTTACGCTCTCCTTAATCCTAGGTCCCAGGAGTTTTCATTAGCATGCATAAAAGAAATCACTCTCCCTTTGTTGAGGGACAGGGAATAGATAGGTGGAAATTTATCTTTAAGAGGTGTATCCCCAAGGCAGACATCTTCCCAAAAACACACTTTATTACCAGCACAAGCATAATGCCTGAAATACAAAAGGGAAGAAGGCAACAAGCTATGGATTGCCGTGCCAATTACTTTATGCCACAAGTTTTCTTGTTCCAAAGGAAACCTCCATAACCATTTGCCCAACAGTGCCAAGTTCTTGAGTTTAATATTTCCTATCCCTAAACCTCCACTATCCCTACTCCTTGACACCACCTCCCACTTTACTAGATGATCATTTTTTGCATCTCCTGGCTCCCATAGAAAATCCCTCATTAGTTTTTCCAGTTTATTGGCCACTTTTGTGGCGATCTTAAAGGTAGATAGGTAGTAAATTGGCAAGTTAGTCAAGGTTGACTTTATTAGAGTTATCCTACCCCCTAAAGAGATATAACTTCTCTTCCATCCTACAAGCCTCGTTGTAAACCTTTCCACTACTAGATCCCAAAAGCTATCAGAATTTGGGTTCCCCCTCAAGGGTAGTCCTAGGTACTGTGAAGGCCAATATCCTACCTCACAAACCAACATTCTAGCTAGGTTTTCTACCTCCACTTTTTCTTTATTTAAACCTGCTACACAACTCTTGTTCCAGTTTACTTTGAGATTGGAAACCCTTTCAAAGTGTGTTACCATCCATTGTAGATTAGCCATATCCTCCCTTTCCCCTTCACAAAAGATAACAATATCATATGCAAATTGTAGATGGGTAACCACTACATTATTCCCCCCAACTCTTCAATCTTGAAGTGAGTTTTTTGCATCAGCTCTTGAAATCAGATCACTAAGCACATATGCTATTAGAGTGAAGAGGAAGGGAGATAGGGGGTCACCTTGTCGAAGGCCCCTTTTAGATAGAAAGAAATCTCTAGCTACTCCATTGACTAGTATGGAATAATGACAGGAAGACATACACCTCTTTATCCATTTACACCATCTCACTCCAAAACCTCTCAATCTTAAAACTTTTAGAAGAAAATCCCAGTCCACCAAGTCATAGGCTTTCTCCAAGTCCAACTTACAAACTAGGCCTTTTTCCTTTCTCCTTTTTACACACTCATTAGCAATGAGGTTTTGGTCAATTATTTGTCTTTCAAATACAAAAGCCCCTTGATTTAGAGAGATTAAAGAGGGAAGGACTTTTTTTGTTCTCTCAGCTAACACCTTGGAGACGATTTTATAATTTATACATACTACCCACAAGGCTTATGGACCTAGAATCATTTGGATGAGAAGCATATGCTTTCTTAGGGATCAAGGAAATAAAAGTAGCATTTGCCCCTGAGTTGAATTTGCCCCTTTCAAAGAGTTAATCAAACACTTCCACTAGATCATCACCCACAATTTCCCAACAATCTTGAAAAAAGCCATTGCAAAATCATCTAGGCTTGGGTCTTTGGATCTCTCCATAGAAAAGATTGCTTCCATAATTTCTTAGACTTCAAAAACCTTCTCTAGGGTTTCTATCAAAGCCCTAGAGCTTCTCCAAATGAATTTTGCTAAAGATTCTTTGGTTCTCCCTGACCAACAAAGATGGATTTGAGGTGATCCACAAAGGCCTGTGCAACATCCCCTTCCCTAGTTAGAGTTTGTCCATTCCACTTGAGTTGAGAGATAGTATTTCTTCTTTTCCTCCCATTTGCTACTAAGTGGAAAAACTTGTGTTGTCATCACTTTCCTTTAACCAATGACATCTAGATTTCTGTCTCCAGCTAATCTCCTCTTTTCTCAAAATCTCTTCCAACTCCTATTTTAACCTCCGTCTTTCATATTTCTCTTCCTCTCTTATTGCCCTCTCCCCCTCAAGCTCATCTAGTCCCTCAATTCTGTGTGAAGTGTAAACCTTTCTTTCCTCTAGAGACCCAAAAACCTTCTTACTCCACTCTTTAATCCTACATTTCAACCTTCGTAGTTTTTTATAAAATCTAAAACCCTTCCACCTAAACTCCACTTGGTCTTCTTCCTACCACTCTTTTCACTTTTGACTTGAAATCTGGATGTAACAGCCACATATTCTCAAAGAAACTTAGAATGGAAAAATTTGAAGGCTGAAGGTCATAGGAGATACATGGTTGAAAGAAAAGAGCATGATAAAGGAAGTTCATAGTTTTGTCAGAATACTTTGGGAGTGGAGGTAAGAAATTTGTTTGTGTTCTGGAAGGGTGGAGAAGTTCATGGTGGGAAGAGCTGTCTTTTGTGATTCAGGATTTTCTCTAAAGGTTAGGATTAAGAAGCGGGGCAGGCTTGGCCCCCATTTTTAAAGAAGGTAATCAAGAAAATGAAAAAGGTGGTTGTTGAGGAGTTCTCGTTTTTTGTAAGTGCTACTGGTCGTGGAAAACTGTTGGCTTTTCAAGGCAGCAAGAAAAGGTGGGAGAATGCTCTGATTGTTTTGACTAAGTTTGAAGTTGAGGATTGGAGGGAGGTTGGGGAGACCATCAGCAGACACTTTAAGTTGAAGGGGTCATTGGTAGTCACTCCTTTTGATAGTTGTAAAGCGTTGCTAGATTTGTTGGATGCCCCAATGGAGATTATAGCCAATTCCATCCAAACCTAGTTCGATCAAATTTTGATTTCTAAATGGTGTTTCCTTTCGAACACTAAGGAAATTGTGGAAGGAGATGAAGTGACAGTCAGGATTCTTGGCTTGCTGTTTCACCTCTGGCAGATGGTAACTTTCCGCTTGATTGCTTCTCTGTGCGGTGGAAGTCTGGAGGGAGTCTTTCTGAATGATCTGTGGTCGGCTGCTCTAAGGATAGTTGGTGTGAAGCCTGAATGTATTCCCAGAAAGATCGATTTACTCTTACAAGTGATTAGTGTCAGTGTATGGCTGGCGACCTCCATTGAAGCTACCTTGTGGTGCAATGGGCGCAGGAAGGAAGACAAAGTGGTGGTGGAGCAGGAGGCGCTATGTGCATGCAAGCGTTGGAGCATTCAAATGAAGATGGCCTTAACCTGCAAAGGGAAGAACAACGGATGGGAAGGGAGTTGAAAGGGCACCATTTTCCCATCTTTGGTAATCCTAGAAGAGCTTCTCAAGCGACACTGAATACTGGCCTGGTCTCTTGTCCCAGGGCATTTAATGTTGGGGTGGCGTGTAAGGAACGTGAACAGATGTGTTCTCAGGAAAAAGACCACAAGCTCTTGGTTATTGGTGGGGACCAATACCCAGTTTACATTGATATTAATAATTTTGAAGTTGGGCATGAAAAGGAGTTCGAGAGTTTGAACAGTCTTGTGGATTTTCCTGGTTTGGGTTGGGTTCTTGCCTTCTTGGTCTGGAATCGAAGGCTCAAACCCAAACACTTGCTGATTCTGTATCAAGAAATTGTGGGGCCATAAGCTCTGGACTGATAGCTGTCGTGGGTTGTTTGGAGGGGTGGTCACCTGGTAGACCTAAAGATCACATTACGAAGGTTGAGGGAGACTTGGGAGATGAAAATTCTGGTCTATCATCGTCTTTTTTGATTCAGGCTGAGGTGAATGAAGTTAGGGTAGTGATGAAGTGTGCTGAATCTACAATGCCAGATAAAGATGGCTTTGTCTGGTGTTTAACGAATTATACTTACGAAGAAGAGAATCGAAAAGAAAAAGATGGTGGCATGGTTGATAAGGCTTGTAATGCTTTGATGAGCAATGTTCCATGCGAGGAGGGTTTTGTAGGTGATTTTTCCTCAGTAGAAAGACAAGAAAACACTTTTTGTTTGCTTTCAACTCACGAAATTCAGGAAGGGGTTGGTGAGGTTTGCTTTGGAGAGGAAGGAAAGGAGATGATGGTGATGGGAGGGGATATCCGTATCAACAAAGTAGCAGCAGGATTGGACAGAGAAGAAGAAAGAGGTAAGGAAGGGGAGGCCCTTCATCCTGAAGGCAAAGGTAAAAATTCAGGAGGAAGAAGTCTGGAGTATGAGAAGGAGAGGGGTTTGCACATGCAAGCTACCCCTGTAGATTTAAGAGCTCTAGATGAGAAGGCTTCTTTTGAAAACAAAATATTCAATAGGACTATCGAGAGAAAAGAAAGGGCTCACCCTGAAGGGGGAGGAAGTATAGATAAAGTAGGTTGGGCTGATGGGGTAAAGACCTGCAACAAGAAAAAAGGTTACCACACTAGACCTCTGAAAGATAAAGAAACCGTTTGGGGGAGTGATGAAGAGGAAGACGGAGACTATGATTCAAGTAGAATAGTAGATTGGAGATTTTGATAGATGAGACCCATGAAGTTAAAAAGCAAGTTAATGTGGAAAAGATCGTAAATACAGCAGTGGAAGTAAACAAAGCCTTGGGTTTATTGGTTTTAGGGGGTCAAGCTTTTACTAGACAGGTGTTTAAGGATCTGGAAGGAAAGTATCCTTTACCCTCGAGGGAGGCAGACCTCACTCCTAAAGAGTTTAGCTCTAGATCCGAAGACTTGAATTTTGAATGGAGAGCTGATGGAACTGCAAGAGCCAGTGTTGATGAGGGTGAAACCTTGGAAGAAGATAAGTTGTTCAAGAAGAATCTGGTTTCGGAATTGGAAAGAATTAATGAAACTAGAGAATTGGTGAAACTTAGGAAGGACCTTTCAGCAATTAGAAAATCCAAACATCAGAGAAAACATTGTCCAGTTCTGGCGTCAAGTGCTTTTTCTAGACTAGGGCTCGGACCAAGTAAAAAAGTGTTAACACAAGAAAGGCCAAAAGAGAAAGTAGAGTGTTCTGTTTTTTTGGGTGTGCGGTGGGAGATTTTTCAGGGGTGTTTTGTTTGTGCTGTAATGAGAGGTCTGGTTGTGAAGAGGTATGCTATGCTGGTCAGTTTTTTTTTTCCCGGTTTTGGGTTTCTGGGTCAAAGGTGGGGAGTTTTTTGTTTGTTTTTCTGGTTTTTGTGGTTGGTGATCTGTTTGGTGTGCTGGGGTTGTGGTTTTGTTTTCCTCCTTTTATTTTCTCCTCTCAGGTGACTTTTGGTCATCTTCTTTGTATCTCTTCTTTTTCTTTAATAAATTTTATTTTATTACCAAAAGGAAATATGCATTTGTTAGATGAAGTTTCCATTTTTGTAGAATAGTGATTTTGGCAATGGTTAATTGCCTTGTTCTTACCATGATTATTCTTATCCATTAAAAATGCCATTCTCTGTAAACCATTTGTTCTCTTAGAATGCTGAGAAATAAATTTACTAGTCCTTGTTGAATGGCAAACACAGATTTACTTTCAATGGTTGGGAACATGTTACTAAAGGATCTTCAACCTAAATTAAATTAATTCAGTTATTATAACGATAAAAAACTATTTCAGTTATTAGCATGCACTTCAGTATATAAATTAAGTCAAAATTCTTGCTCTATTGTTTGCTCCTAATCTCACTACAGTGGGAATTGATGCAGGTTCCTCTGAAACTAAATTGTCTATGGTTTCTTTCCTTGGTGAACTGGTTCTGAACAATGATGAGAAGGTCTTTGTGGCCAGAACAGTGGGATCAACACTTGTCAATTTCTTGAGAAGTGGAAATGTTCAATCAAGAGAAGCTTCTTTGAAAGCCCTGAACCAGATTTCATCCTGTGAGGCTAGTGCCAGAATGTTAATAGAAGCTGGGATCCTTCCTACACTTGTGAAGGACCTCTTCATTGTTGGTGGGAATCATCTTCCTATGAGGTTGAAGGAGGTCTCTGCAACGGTTCTTGCTAATGTTGTGAACTCAGGCTATGATTTCGATTCAATCTCAGTTGGACCTGACCACCAGACTCTGGTTTCTGAAGATATAGTGCACAACCTACTCCATCTCATCAGCAACACTGGTCCTGCCATTGAGTGCAAGCTACTCCAAGTCCTTGTTGGACTGACCAGTTCTCCTGCAACTGTTCTGAATGTAGTTTCTGCCATTAAAAGCTCTGGTGCTACCATCAGTTTGATTCAGTTCATTGAAGCTCCACAGAAGGAGCTCTGTTTGGCTTCGATAAAACTTCTCCAGAACCTTTCACCTCACATGGGTCAAGAGCTAGCTGATGCTTTACGTGGTACTGCCGGTCAGCTTGGTAGCCTGATAAAAATAATCTCAGAAAACAATGGGATCACAGAAGATCAGGCAGCAGCTGTTGGCCTGTTAGCAGACCTTCCGGAGAGGGATTTGGGACTCACTCGACAGCTGTTGGATGAAGGTGCCTTTGAGTTGGTCATCTCTAGGGTGTTACGAATTCGACAAGGGGAGACCCGTGGTAACCGCTTCATGACTCCCTATCTAGAAGGACTTGTTCAAGTCTTGTCAAGGCTCACATTTGTCTTAGGTGATGAGCATGATGCTGTAGTTCTGGCTCGTGAGCATAATCTTGCCGCATTGTTCATTGATCTGCTTCAGGCAAATGGGCTTGACAAGGTTCAGATGGTGTCTGCCTTGGCTTTGGAGAACCTTTCACAAGAGTCCAAACGTCTGACAGAACTGCCAGAGTTGCCTAAACCTGGATTTTGTGCTTCAGTTTTTCCTTGTTTTAGCAAGCAGCCAGTGGTAACAGGATTGTGCCGCCTACACCATGGAACTTGTTCCCTGAAGGAATCTTTTTGTCTTGTGGAAGGAAAGGCTGTGGGTAAGTTGGTGGCTTGTTTAGACCACACAAATGAAAAGGTGGTTGAGGCAGCACTTGCAGCAATCTGCACATTGTTGGATGATGGAGTTGATGTTCAACAAGGAGTGATGGTTTTGTGTGAGGTGGAGGGAGTCAAGCCAATACTTGAAGTGCTGCTTGAGAATCGGACAGAGATCTTGAGGCAGCGGGCGGTTTATGCTGTTGAGAGGCTCCTGAGGACTGAAGACATAGCATATGAAGTTTCTGGTGACCCTAATGTGAGCACAGCACTGGTTGATGCATTCCGACATGGTGACTATCGAACTCGGCAGATTGCTGAGCGTGCCTTGAAGCATGTCGATAAGATACCAAATTTTTCTGGCATATTTCAGAACATGGGTTAGGTGTGTTAGAGATGCTAATATCCTTCACTCATTATGGCCATTGATGATGGATGCGAATGGATGGATGTATTGATTATTTTTTAAATTTTCTACTATCCTGAGGAAAGTTCACTGCTGCATTGTAAGTTTTGATTTTGGAAGCATACTGCCTTTGTAGTTCATTAATGTCTAGTTGATACTCTTTTTGTGTTGCCATATGTAGAGGTTAGAAGTATATATATTCATTTGTTCGAACTGCTTTGGTGAGTTTGTAAGAGTCATTGGCATACCACCCATTTATTGTATGGACAAATGAAGTTTGTTTCATTAGCATTGATAATGGGAATATAAATGTATAATTTTTTGTAACATTTCTGCAACCATATTTCAAGAAGAATAAGAAATGAAGGAATTATCTTTACCATTTCTTTCCATCTAGGCTCTGTATTGCAGAAAATCTGGAGGAAAAAAATTTTATTGGGTTTTAAGATATTCCTAGTAAAATTATTTTGGCAGAAAATATTAAAAATTCCATAAGGAGCTTTTTGCAAGGAGAAAAGTATAGTGCATTCTTTAAGGCATTCTATTCTCTGCATCTTCTCTCTTATCATTTTACACCATAACAAAAGCACCTTTAGTTCGATAACCTTAGCATGAAGGTTTAATTATTAACAGGTATCACATGTTTCAATATGTTCTTATCTTTATTTCTTCCATTTTTTGTCTTGTTTTTTTTTTCTTTAATTTATGGCTTTATACCATAGCAGATGCCCCTTATTTAATAATTCTTGATTCAAGGTCTGATCAATAGATATTGGTTACTTGCATCATATGCACATACACATTTGAATAAGTAGCTAATAATGTTAATGTAGTGATGCGGTCTGGCTTATATTTTCTCATCATTTCCATGTATGCAATATTTTCATTCATTAATATCATTCTGCAAAAGGATTAAGGCAAGGGAACCTTTTCCCCAATTCTGTTCATTCTAGCCAAAAAGGTTTTAGTAAGGGTTATTTTGATTGGTGATTTTCGGTGAGGTTTGAGTAGATAATTTGTGGAGGGAAGGGTCAGTATTATTGGGCATTCAGGTATCCATCTATTTCATATCTTCCATTTGCCAATGGTGTCAATCTTCAGTTATGGTAAAAAAATCAACATTTTTTTTTTGTTTGCCTAAGCATATGCCTTTTGTAAAAGCATCATTCAAACCTGTAATGGTTTTGTATTAAAGTCCTTGTCTATCTTCTATATTAGAGCTCCTATTTACAAGTACTTCATCACCTCCTCAATTTACTTCTTTCCTTTTTTTATTCCTTTTTAAGGTATACCTTTAATAGCATCTTTTCTTACATTATCTCTGCTATGTCCCCATTAGTGGCGATTACGTGAACAATTATTTTTATCAGCAAAAGGAGAATGTTATTCAATTAAGAGAATCAGTTACAGAATTACAGCAAATGGAAAGCAAGCATTGCACCACAAAGTGTTATAATAAAGCCCAGAAAGCTGCTGCCTAAGAACTCCCTGTTTGGCTAATGAATCAGCCATCCCATTTGCAATTCTCCTGATCCCTGTGAACGAGGCATTGAATTCCCTTGCTAGTCTTTCAATCTCCCTTAGGGGATGCCCATAAATCCAAGGAGCATTACCCCTTGAATTGGTCCATGATATCACTATTTTTGAGCCCCCTTCTACCTCTAAGTTCTTAAGGTTTGCTTGTTTGGCAAGTTTTAATACCTGGGTGGGGGCTTCCACTCCACCTTTCTTTCTTTCTTCTTAGAAGAGTGTACCACTTCATTCCACACTCTTACTATATCAATAATTGAGAAAATTTGAAAGAGTTCAACTGTTTTCACCCAGTGTGCAACTTTTATCTTTATGGCCTCCACTAGATCTTCATTTGACTTGGTACTTCTGGTTGAAAATTCTTGCATTACTTTCCTCCCATACAGTCCACACCACTGTTTTTTTTATAAGTAGTCCACACCACTGTTGTGCTAACTGATTTCCACATAACCCTTGCTCTTTTTGTTGGTCGCCTTAGAAAGTTTGGGTTAAAGAGGCTTACTATATCCTAGAGAGTACTCCACCTGCAACCAAAGAGAGCGAACAAAAAGATTCCCAAAAAAAGAGCACAAAAGAGCAACGAATCAGTAAATGTGGTAGGGATTCATCATCTGCAAAGCAAAGAATGCATATATGAGGGGAGAGGCATTTATTTGACCTCCTTTTTTGAAGGATGTCATAGGTGTTCACCTTCCAAAGAAAAACCTCCCTGCTCAAAGCTTGAATTTTTGGTGGATTGGGCTTGCTCCAAATCTCTTTCACCGGTAAGTTCTCACCCCCAACAGAAAATGGAGGGGTCTGCCAAATTACAAATATCTATGGTCCTACGGAAAATAGCCAAAGAAGTGAGCTCTGGGAAGATTTAGCAAGCTCTAGAGGGCATCTTGATTGTCCTTGGGCTATTGGAGGGGATTTTAATGTGACTTTGTTGTCTGAAGAAAAAAAATACAAGGGGAAGAAGAACAAGGGCAATGAACATGTTTGCTGACTTTCTAAACAGGTTTGAATTAATGGACTTGCTGCTGGTGGGTGCTAATTTTACATGGACAAACAATCAGGAATCTCCTACATTAGTTAGATTGGATAGGTTTCTAGTTTCTTCTGATTGGGATGAGTTGTTTCCCTCCTTTAAACAAGTTGCTCTTCCGAGACCTGTCTCAGATCATAGCCCAATCTAGTTAACTTGTGGTTCCATAGAGAAATCAAGGTCCCTTTCAAATTTGAAAAATGCGTGGTTTGAGGAGGAGGGTTTCCTGCCTTTGTTGAACAAATTCTGGAATGAGTGTCAAGTGAATGGCTCTAGCTCACACATCCTAGCCAAAAAATTGGGGATAATTAAAGAAAAAAATCAGAATATGGAAGTTGGAGAATAGTTTGTCCTTGGAGACTGAAAAAAGGGGCTTGTCTCAGTATGATTGAAGAGGTGGATAGAGCTGAAGAAGTGGTCAGATTTCTCAAGAGCAAAGGCTGAAAAGTTGTCAAGCCAAGGTGACATTTGATAGCTGTTAAGGATGAAATTAGGTGGAGATAGAGAGCTGAATCCACTTGGCTCAAGGTGGGGGATAAGAAAAGTGGCTTCTTTCACAAAATGGCCAATGCTCGAAATAGAGTCAAGAAAATCAACAAGTTAGTATTGATCTAGGGGTGTCAAGAATAGTCGACCCCCACCCCAAAGAGCCTCTTTTATATTAAAGGGATAAAAAGTATGTACAGTTACAAGAATGTCCTTATAGGGCTGAAAGATAAAAAGAACAAATAAAATAATAAGAACTATGATACTGTACAACAAGGACTACTCTAATAATGTACATCAAGATATATCTTCACACTCCCCTGCAAATTGATGCGTAGACATCACCATCAGTTTGCCCACAAGAATGAGATGTCGACTCTTAGTCATGGCCTTGGTGAAGATGTCGGCAATTTGCATGTGATAGGCAACATGAGGAAGAGATATAAAGCCTACAACAAGGAGGTCTTTAATAAAGTGACAATCCACCTCGATATGTTTAGTCCTCTCATGAAAGACTGGATTAGATGCGATCTTGATAGCGCTGGTGTTGTTGGCATATAGAGGGATAGGGGTAGGAAGAGAAATCCCAAGATTAATGAAAAGTGACTTCAGCCAAACAATCTCGCTACATGCAGAAGACATAGCTCTATATTGAGCTTCAGTGGAAGACTTAGAGACAGTTTGCTGTTTCTTGCACTTCCAGGAGATGAGAGAGTCACCCATGAAGACGCACCACCCAGTAGTGGATCGACGAGTGTCAGGGCAACCAACCCAATCAACATCAGCATAAACCCTCAACTGTATGGATGATGAGGAAGAGAAAAACAGTCCCTGAGAGGTTGTATCTCGAACATTACGGACGATGCAATGAACTACAGTCATATGAGGTTGTCTCGGGGCAGAGACAAATTGACTGATGACCTGAACAACATGAAATATCAGGTCTGGTCATAGTAAGATAGATCAAAGAGCCAACAAGCTGACGGTACAGGGTGGCATTAGGAAGGATGAGGCCTTCGGATTCAGATAGTTTGACATTCAGCTCCAGGGGGTATCAACATGTTTCTCATCTATGATTCCAGCTAGTTTGATGAGATCAGAGGCGTATTTTTGTTGACAAATAAAATACCCTCGACTGCTATGATGAACCTCCAAACCCAAGAAGTAAGTGAGAGGACCCATGTCCTTCATGTGAAATGAGTTATGAAGTAAGGACTTCAGCTCACAAATGCCGTCATGGTCATCCCCCGTTAGGAGCATGTCATCAGCATATAATAGAAGAATGGTAATACCCTGGGGTTTTCTCTTCACAAAGAGGGAGTAGTCAGAGGAACTCTGATTATACCCAACTGCAACAACAACATCTCGGAAGCGCTCAAACCAAGCCCTGGGTGCTTGCTTCAGGCCATATAAAGACTTCTTCAGGCGACAAACACGTGAAGGATCACTGCAATATCCAGACGAAGGTTTCATGTAGACTATCTCCTTTAATTCGCCATGAAGGAACGCATTCTTCACATCTAATTGGTAAATAGTCCAGGAATAAACAACATAAATGGCCATAAGAGTCTGAATTGTGGTGATCTTAGCAACCGGGGCAAATGTTTCTTCATAATCAATCCCATATTCCTGGCTGTATCCTTGGGCAACTAACCGGCCTTATATCGATCAAGAGAGCCATCTGATTTCAGTTTGATTGTATAGACCCAACGACTTCCAACAATAGAAGCATCTGGAGGAGCTGGCACAAGATCCCAAGTGTCACTCTCATGGAGGGCTTGAATTTTGGCATCCATAGCTTCTTTCCACTAAGAACTTCTAATGCTTGCTGATAAGATCTAGGGATATTTGTGGAAGAAAGTACAGTAGAAAAGGAACTATGGTTTGAAGGAAAACCATAGCGGTCAGGAGGTCGAGAGATACGGGTAGAACGACGAAGTGGAATAACTGAACTACTATCTGAAATAGGAGGATCTTGGGTCAAGGTATCACTTACAGAGGATATCTGAGATGAATGCTCTGGACCGGGTGGAAGGGGGGATGTAGGCGCAAGAGCC